ATTCGGCAATATAACTAAATCATACCATTTTACTGATCCCGGTAATATTATAAATTATGTAAATCTAATAGCGCACGTATCTCATTTGACTCCGGGTACCGTCAGAGGATCAGAGAACAGAATACGCCGTGGCCATCACAACAGTTATCCCTTGGAGGGCCTCATGGTAAAATCAAACTAACCAGTCACTTATCCCTTCATTTCGCATAAACCACTGTATAATTATAAAAACACAAAGTAAACTCTCTCCGATACATGCCCATTAACATATTAAACTAAGTTCATCTGTGTTCAAACTCACACAATGATACTAGCGAGCTTAATAGTTTTAGATATTTATTCATAACATAAACAGCGCTAGCATTTCTGTCGATTTTGTTTCAGCTTAAGGTAGAGAAGGACACTTGAGGCAAAAAAAATCTGGTCAATGAATTTTTTTTAATTTCGCATATATTGTTCTTTTGGGTGTACCTAACAAAATATCAAAATTTGAGAATAGGTTTCCAGGCTATTTTTTTAAATATTCTTTGAAAGAGTTATCCCCCTTTGATGTCCGAAAAATGTCATTTTTTTTGCCCTTTTTAAGTCATTAAGGTACACGCCAAAAAATGCATATATTTTTTTTTGGAATTTATCTGAGAACAATATGATAAATGAATATTTTGAAATATTTTAGACATAATATTTCAAAAAAATATCTTTTTTTTTCAAAATGGCTACCCTTTTCTGAAATATGCCTGCAGGTAAAATTTCGCCAAAAAAATGATTGTAAAGTCGAATAAAAAAAAATTGTGTCAATGATTTTTTTTTAAAATTGGTATATAAAGTAACTTATATCCATTATACAAATCATAAAAAAATAAAGATATGTTTCCAGGGAAAACAAAAAGTTACGGGGGTTAGAAGACACCCTGTTATACACCCTTTTATGCAGATTTCAAGAAAAATGTCATGTTGCAGCAGCCATGTTTTTGTAATATCATTTTATCCTTTCAGGTAAACTTCTTTAGGTTTAAAGGAGGTTGCATCTGTTTTGAATATTCAAGAAGTTGGCATTTGACCTCAAAGCGAAATCATCATTTCATAGGTTAATAATCCTTGATTAATATAGTCTCATCTTTCACAATAATCAGACATAAGACTTGGAAAGGATATATATATCTTATTTCAATCAGCAATAATTATTAAAAACAATATTTATTTGACCTTGGTTTTGACCTCATGTTAAAAGGATTGTCCAACCAATTTTTATATCATTACAGTGTATTGAGTGTTTGGTGATGTTTTGATTTTAAATTGGATGATTTTGAAAAAAATCTTTTGTTTAGTGGGTTTGATGACTGGTCTACTGTCTGGAAATACCAAGATCTTTTAACTGACTGTTGATGTTCGGTTTTTAAAAATACACCTAAACATAGAGACTGAAAGGTGTAATGTTTGATCCAAGTGGTAATTGTGTAAGTTTTGGAGCTGTAACAATCAACATACTCATTCATTCACTTTTCATGATTATAATGATGCAGCAAAAAAGTAATATATATCTATACAAAATAAATTTTATTTCACATCATTTTTTGTCATGTAATTACCATTCACATTTATAAATGAAAACAAAACTCAAGAGCAGACTTCTTACAGACAACATTTGATTTTTATCAAGAGGGAGCATCATGGACCATGTCATAATGATATAAAACAAACCACTGAAAACATTAAAACATTATGATAATATAACAACAATTTACAATGCATAATTATAACCAGGATGAAAATGTAGGTTACACTTGCAAAAGGATTGTATCTCAAAAATAAAAATAAACATGAGGGGAGATTCAGTTTCCAAGGGACTCACTGAAACGTTTATCCAATTTCATGAAAACTGCAATCTCTGAAAAATATTCCACTAAAACTTCATCAAATCACTTATTTTAACAATAAAACAATAGTCCTGCCCTGAGACAGAAAATGTGGAAAGGGGTATTCCGATTTATGGCCTAGCCCAATGCAAATTATGTTGGTTTATAAAGATGAAGTAAAGTTATCTCCCCTTTGTTAATTTTGAGGTGGCTTGTATTTTTACATAAGCATCTACTTTTGTGTAAAAGTTCATAAAAATCTGTTGAATAATTTGTCCACCAAAATAAAAAATCTGTAAGAGAAATAAACCTTCAGGGAGTTTTTAAAGGTCGAGACCTAATGACATGCTGAGCTATTTGCATTTCAAATTTTCACTACAATTTTTTAAATACAAGGTCAAACAGCAAAAAAACAAAACAAACTAGAAAAATGACTGCGTCACGAAGGGACCCCTCCGGACATGAATAATCGAAAACGCTTCAAAATCAAAAGGGAGCTTCCTCTAGTGATGCTTATTAATTTTATTTAATTGGTCGAAGCAAACTTGAGTTATCGTACGAAATAGGAAACTGTGACGGACGGACAGACGGACAGACAGAGTGATTACTATAGGGCACCGCCATTTTATTTTAATAAATATATATTTCAAGTGTAAGTACTCCTTGGTTACTCCAAATTTTAGCAATGTCCGATAAAAATGTGAATTTATGAATTTATATAGCTCTACAAAAATGTCTGTTTCTCAATATTTTTGGTAATACTAGAAAAATAATAATAATAAAAATAGTCATAACCTATGTTATTACCAGACTTCTATCCTTTACATTGGTTTGTTTGATACTGGTACTTCTCCTCTTGTCTGTCTATCTTTCCGTCTGTCTGTGTTTCTGTCTTTCTTTCTGTCCATTTACCTGTCTTTATTTCCACTATGCTTTGTTTTATTGTTTCTCTTATCTGATTTTCCTTCCTTTCTTATATAACATTACACAAAAATATACCACTTACAAAAAGAGCAATTTTTAATTAGTATGAAAGTATGTGTGAAAGTGGAATTCATTATGTATAATGAAATATATATGTTATTGTATTTGAAATTAACAAATAAAAAAATAAAATAAAAAAATAGTAATAATAGTAAAAAGTCGGATATTTTAACCGAAGAGTCGTTCTGTTTTCTATTCTCCCATCCTCGATACCAGTGATTACGCTCACTTATATAATGTCGTAGCAAAATTGAAGGCTTAGTGTGCGCCACCTTGTTGATGGTTCGATAAGACTAGTTTGATCCTTTGATATACATCAAAAGAATCTCGCGGTCACGTAACGGTAAAAATTGACAGGCTTTGAAGTCGGGCGTCTCTTCTTTGTAATCTTCAAAGGATAGGTATCAGCCTAGCGATTGGTCAGTTCTTTTTACCTGAGACCAATCAACCAGCTATCTTCGTGCCTTCAATTTTGGGAAAGTGAGTGTAACTCCTAGATTCTCCATGCTTGGTGGTAGAAAAAAAGTGAGAGTGCAGCAGGGTTCGATCCATCGACGACAAAATATTGGTAAATCTTGTACGCCGTTCCCAGTACTGGTCCCGGACTAAAACCCCGTAACAGGAATATGAAGATATTTCAATATATCATTAACGCGATCGTTTATAAAAAAAAATTAAATTATATAAATTAATTTAAAACATTATTTTCTAAATGTGAAAGTTACAAAAAAGTTTTTTTTGATCATCTGATAATTTAGAGTTCGACGATAATGTATATTTCAAGGGGGTAAAACGGTTGGGGAAAAAATGCTATGTAAATCGTGCCACCCTAGCTAGTGGTGTAGTGGGTCCACTTCACATTCCTGCCCTAGCGTACTTGTAAACTTTTGGCAGTATAAGATAAAGCGGCCGCCCTGTTGTTTAATTTCGTCTGGAGCTTTTGTGGAGTTGTTTTCAATATACAATTAAGTTTGATATAAACTTACATGTTCAAATTGTGTGGACATATATATATATATACGTTAATAATACGTTAAGATATATTCCTGACCACGACATACATGTAGCTTGACGGAGTGAGCATGATCTCCCCTTCCTTTCCGGTTTTATCTTTTGCAAAATTATACGCTTGTGAGCCGGCATGGGCATCGTGAAAATGCCAGGTATTCGACAGCTCCAATCGTACTTGGTATGTCGTTCTTACGCTACTAAAACATTCAAACACAGAACTGTTTCGGAACTGCGAAAGTTGAAAAATAAGGCACATGCTACTGTTTCGAATCCCAAGGACGTATCAGTCGGAAAAAATGGAGGGTCAAAGGAAATCACAGAGAAGGTGCAATATCCGAGTTATCAACGTAAGTTTTGTTACAGGTTTTACCAGAACGAAGATATACCTTTTTCAATCTTTTCTATGTGCTGAGTACAATAGATTTTATTGTTTTTTGAATTCAAATGACTGGACTCGTGTATTGAAAAAGGAACTGATGAATAGCTGATGACTTGTATATTTAAGCATAATTGCGTATATGTATAATACGCAAACTCGCCTATTATACGCAAATACGGGTATGGATTTGTTACTAAAAATAGCCAAAATCAATTTAATCTGAACTTTTCAAATTGTTTGTCCATGTCGCATTTATTCAGTCATGAAACATAATACAAATGCAAAAATGTATTTGCATGTGGGAAAGTACGTAGTACTAATATTAATACCCGGCCTCTAATAGTACTAATATTTAAAATACCCGGCCTCCTCGGCCAAAGCTACGTTATCGCAGCTAGTGGGAAAGTACCAAAAATAGATACAATACCTCTTGTAAAGTTACATCAAGTTTCTACTTGTAGGCAATGCTTTCAGTAAACATCTTTTAGCAATATATTATTTACCTTGTTGTAAATTAATGCGATTTTTAATAATATCTTGCAAAAGTTACTGTTAAAGCGATTTGGGTTATTTTTAGTAACAAATTCATACTACAGCTGGCGTATAATAAGCGAGGTTGCGTGTTATACGCAAATTGGTGGTTTTCCCCAATCTGATTATAGCCACAGATTGTTTTTTGTGTAACTGTTATCATTAACTATTGACAAAATTTCAGACTCCTGCTATGTGACCATGTGTAGCTCATTTGAAATGTTAGAGGTTCCAAGTTAAAATGCAGGTCTGGCTGTGTAGTTTCCTCTCCTGTTCATGTAATTCAAATTAACGCCATGTTATATTCAGATTTATTTATTAGCTATTGTAAAAGGAGTGAAAGTGGAAAGTGCACAGCCATGAAGACCGGGATCCTAACCCAGGACCGACCTCCAAATTCTAGATGGATCCTCTAACCCCTATTGAGCTAAACATAGTCACACCAACGATGAACCCAGTGAGTCCAATTCCGCTATAGTTGCCCCCCCCGCCTTTTGTATGCCCCCGCCATAAAATGGGGGGG